CCAAACTCTAACTACCTGGTGATTATGTACTCATGTTTCATCTAACAATTATATTCCAAACTCTAACTACCTGGTGATTATGTACTCATGTTTCATCTAACAATTACATTCCAAATTCTAACTACCTGGTGATTATGTACTCATGTTTCATTTAACAATTACATTCCAAACTCTAACTATCTGGTGATTATGTACTCATGTTTCATCTAACAATTACATTCCAAACTCTAACTACCTGGTGATTATGTACTCATGTTTCATCTAACAATTACATTCCAAACTCTAACTATCTGGTGATTATGTACTCATGTTTCATCTAACAATTACATTCCAAACTCTAACTATCTGGTGATTATGTACTCATGTTTCGTCTAACAATTATATTTCAAACTCTTATCTGGTGACTATGTACTCATGTTTCATCTAACTATTATACTATAACATATAACTACCTGGTGATTATGTGCTTATTTTTCATCCTAACTATTATATTCCAAGCTATAGTTATCTAGTGATTATGTGCTTATGTTTCATCCTAACTATTATATTCCAAGCTATAATTATCTAATGATTATGTATTCATGTTTTACTCTAACTATTATATTCCAACCTGGTGATTATGTGCTTATCTTTCACTTTAACCTTTCTACCATGAAAATTGACGATAACTCTTTCTCATCTTTTGTGTTATTGTGAGAATGTTCACTTATTTTGTTTTCATTATGCTGTTCGAGCTCTAGTTTTGCAAAAAATTCGAGATCTGTCTGTTATCTGCCTATACCAAAGTGTAAAGATTTATGTATCTGCTTTATATTCGTCAAGAATATCGGAAAACACTGTCAGTCAGTAACCACGTACTATCTTTTATTGACACGCCCTTTCTGATAAACTTTTGTCTAAAAAAAAAAAAAACGACCTTAATGACACACAGACACTCTCTTTAGTCCCCCCCCCCCATTCCCCGATGAAGTTTTTTCTGTTGTTTTTGTACCCCAGTCGTAAATTTTAATTTACCGTAGTTATTATGTAAAGCAATTTTAGAAATACTTATCTAGAATAACCCCTCGTATTGAGCCTTTTGGATACGCCCTGTTTGGTAGAGGTTTTATCTGAACATATTTCATAAAGATTACTGTTTAATGGCATTTAAAATATCACTAAAATATATTTTATTAAGTTACTAATTTATTACCCTCACAAACACCGGAACATAAATTAAAAGTGACAATATCCAAATAGTTAAATTTAGGAGAGGATAATCGCCAAAGTTCAGCTTATAATACTCGATACTTTGTTTTCTAGATCTCAAAGATTCATCGCTATTACAGAAAGGTGGACTTGTAATATAGAAATATGGTACATTAGCATCTGTTTACCAAGTCTTTGTCAATAATATTAAACATAACCCCAAACGTTGACATGTTTTACCGTACAGCCTCTGTTTCCCAGGCCTTTATCAATAATAGTACCTCTAGATTAATCAGGTCTTTATTATTAATAATGTAAGTTAACCTAGACTTGACATGTTTTACCGTATAGCATTTGTTTCCCAGGCCTTTATCAATAATAGTACCTCTAGATTAATCAGGTCTTTATTAGTAATAATGTAAGTTAGCCTAGATTTAACGTGTTTTACCGTGGTCTCTGTTTATCTGATCTTTATCTGTAAATATAAACGTAACCCCCAAGGGCGCCCGCAGAAAAAAAAATTAGGGGGGTCAAGTAACTCAAGTTTGAAAAAATTACGAAATCGAAATACAAATACCTTATGATTTTCTAATAACATAGAAGAATAATTTTTCATATCTAGTATTTTTTTTTCTTTTTGAAAATCCAGAGGGGGGGGAGGTCAAGTGACCTCCCTTGCCCCTTCCTGCGGACGCCCATGGTAACCCCAAATGTTGACACGTTTCATCTAGCCTCTATTTACCAAATTTTATCAATAATACTAAACGTAACCCCAGATGTTGACATGTTTCACCTAGCCTCTATTTACTGGATCTTTATAAATGATATTAAACGTAACCCCAAATGCTGATATGTTTCACCTAGCCTCTATTTAGTGGATCTTTATTAATAATATTAAACGTAACCTCAGATGTTGACATGTTTCACCTAGCCTCTATTTACTGGATCTTTATCAATAATACTAAATGTAACACCAAATGCTGATATGTTTCACCTAGCCTTCTATTTACTGGATCTTTATTAATAATATTAAACGTAACCCCAAATGCTGATATGTTTCACCTAGCCTCTATTTACTGGATCTTTATCAATAATACTAAATGTAACACCAAATGCTGATATGTTTCACCTAGCCTTTATTTACTAGATCTTTATCAATAATACTAAATGTAACCACCAAATGCTGATATGTTTCACCTTGCCTTTATTTACTAGATCTTTATCAATAATACTAAATGTAACCCCAGATGTTTACCTGTTTTACTGTAGTCTCTGTTTAGCAGTACAATCAAGCCAGGTTTTATGTTGTAGTGCTCTATTTTTCGTTTATCAGATCTTTATTGGTAAAGAACTTAAGTTTGCCTAGTTGTAGTACATATTTTGTTCTTAGGCCTTTATCAGTAGCAATTTATGGAAACCCATGTTTGACTTGTTTCAGTGAAGATTCCCTCATCTTATCAGTAGTTGGACGAAAAATTCCAGGTTCAACGTTTTGTGTTACAGACAAATAGTGTCCCTAATCTATACGGAGTACTTAACATAACGTTATTTCGCAGGTTCGGACTTGATCACATGGATGACGAAGAACCTGGACGTTGAGGACCAAAGTAAGTAGCTTATCATTGTCAATAAAAACAACACGTGATAAAATCTGTGATGTTTGACGTTTTACTGAGTGGTGGATCAATTAAACGTTGCGGATTAAATCGTAAACAAAATCTAGTTAAATCAATTACGCGAGTTCACGCAGATCCCCCCTTCCCACCCACTCCAGGTAATTTTTAAAGCTGTTTCATCACGTAGCAGCATAGTAGGTATTGTAAATATGGTAATATAGTACTAATTAAATACTTATAATTCGATACAAACAGATTACTCAGGTACTTGATACCGCTTCTAGCATCATCACTCGATGCATGTCGGCTGGAGTTCACCCATGATTTTATCGTAAAGTACTCTTGTAGTTGACTGTGTAGAGAAATACATTACTAAAATTATCGTCAAATAAATTTTGACGTAAGTTTTACCCTTGTTTTCAGTATGAATGTCTGTTTAAGGCTTTTTGTATTTTTATAAATATTTTTTCAACGTTAAGAAACTCTATCACTTAAATATTATAACTGCTAGAGGAGACATCATGGCCATAATATTTTTCCCTTACGATTATTTTGCGATATTTTGTGCGCCGTTCCCATGTTCATAAAAATATTCTGTCTTTTCTTCACAATTGGTGCTTCAAATGATCCTTAAACGACATTGACTAACCTAATACTTTAGGCTTGGCATAGTCTAGTGGTTAGCGTGATTCCAAGGATTTACGATTCACGACTCGTTACATGCTGAAACACGCTCCGCACTTTGGCGCCTAAGGTGTATTTAAGGGTATAATGGTCAAATCCCACTTATCCAATCAGACAAAAGTAGCGTAAGTGTTGGCGGCAAGCAATGTTATTTATCTGTCTTCCCTTTAGTCCATCAGTTCCAATTAGGCATACCTACGCGAACATATCCTTTTTGCAACCTTGCGCGAAATTCTGAAACAAACAAATTTATTACTTCAGTTTATTACTTCAAACTAAAATACTTAAATGTATCCAGTTGGCCCTAAAATTAAAATACAAACATAAAAATATATCGCCTTAATAAAATCCAAAATTTGTAAACTCAAACGCTCGCGTGCACCCTTTTATAGATAAATATATATAAAATAGAAAAAGATAGTTGGACTGGGATAGTTATAAAGTTTGATAGTTTTAATGATAAGTCGATTGAATGACAGAACCATTTCTTTAATTCTTTTATTCTACAAATAATATTCATTCAATTTTTTATGATTGAGTTAAAATTGTTATTTAAACTCCAGATGTATTTTCAGTGCATATTTCTCTTTTTTAACAATATTTTGTTGCTATTATTATTCCAACTCCCTCATATCAACGTCTGTCTTATCCTTTGTTTGTTTTTCGTATATTCACTGACGAACATTGTTCGTGAGAGTTGTTTTATTTCAGCTAAATCTCTGAACCTACGAAACCGGAATAACTGTTTCATGTTTTATCTTGAATTCGTTAGATTTCTCTAGTTCATCACAAAAGTTTCTTCTTTTTTTTTAACAAAATCAGCATAATAGTTCGTGGAAGAAAAGCCCTTCTTGCTGGAGCTGTGGTATTGAATGTAGGTCTTCTGTGAAAAGATTAAGTTTGCTTTCATAGGTCTACTACCCACATAGATGAATGGAGTGAAAAGTTTATTTTTCTGTTATGGTTCTCTCGCGTGGGCGTTCTTCTTTACATAAAAATATATATATAATATAAAAGCGGGGAACTTTTCATGATTGGTAATAAAAGTACCAATCTTATCTTTTAAATCTTAACAATATTTACTGAACAAGTATTTCTGAAAATTGACACTTCTTTGTGTAAGTTTTGGAAACCAAAATCTTTAAAGTTGTAATAATAATAAATCACGCCCCTTGGTGGCTTGAGGGATTATAACACTAAAATCGAGGGCTCGATTCCCTGCTATGAGAACAGCACAGTCAGTTCACTGTGTACCTTTAGGCTTAACATTATAGATGTGGCTTTATTTCGCGAGTGAGATGTTCTTTTAGTATTTTTATTTTTCGAACATTCTCGTATAGTTGAATATGCGTTTGTAAATGATGAGCTGAGCTTTATATATCACGTAATATATAACAGTTGAAGAAGTTAAGAAGGCTATCACCACCTACAATTCATATCTTAAATACACTGTGTGAACATCAGATAGACTGTGTACACCTAATATTGTGGACTTAACTTACCCAGCACAGACTAAAGTGTTTCTGAATGAAAAATAGGACATTTTGCATTTCAGTTTTTAGATATTTATGGGCAATAATGTACTTTTATTTACATTTCTACGAATATCAAGTTATTTGTATGAATTTCACAAATGATATCCTGACAAGGTAACTGTATAAAGTGCTATTCCGTAATATTTTCCTTCTTCTTGCGACTAAAAAAAAAAAACGTTTTCAGAAAAGTCTACTTACTTTGTGACTTTGTAGTAGTACCAAATTTAAGGGTTCATGGCTTAAAACGCTGGAATTAGTGGTTCAATTTCTAGTTTCACGCTATTACTAGTAGACAGAGAGTAAGAATCAAATTTGTTGAATTTGTCATTGGTATGAACGCTTTTATTACATGTCTAGTTAAAGTATTAGGGGTAATATCAATAGGACGTTAGATAAAATTACTATCATTTTATGATGCTTTTCTACAGCTAGATTTGAAAAAAATTCAGAAATGGTTTAATGGGTTCAAGCAATCAATTTTTTTCCTGAGAAAGGAGTGAAACAACTGAGTTTAGAGACGATTCAGATGATGCAGTCTCTAATTGAAGAAGAAGATGATAACAAACTTATAAATAAAAGAAGTAATCTGTCCAGAAAAATAAAAATGTCGAGATTTTTTGAAAGTCCTCTAGTCTGAGAATAGAAAAGACAACACCTTCAGCGGACATAATTAAAAATTATGATTGTTACAGCCACTAACAGATTGTCGTAAAAGAATAGTTCAGTCATTTTTCGGCTAACTAGAATAACAAAGATGCATAAAATAGTGTGATAAAAGTAAAACGAATTAAAATGTCCATTTCTTTAGACTATTTTAATACAACAAAAGGAGAGTAAAATAACAATTTAGAGTTAGCAGAATTTCCGTACAAACATAGTATAAAAAAGTTCTATATAAAGATGTTTTTATTATGAGTATATCATTACAAAAAAACCCAAAAAACTTGTAATTTAGTAAACTTTACGAATTATAAACAATCTCTATATTAAAAACTTTGTTACTAAAGTAACTCTGTGTGCGTATACTGCGAAAGTTTACAAAATAACACATGCACACGAATAAATTACCCGCTCGAAAATAACCCCCGGGAAACGTATCTTGCCACGCAGAAAAAAAACAGGAAGCTTTTTTTCTAAATTATAAATCCAATCTAACAATAATATAGAACTTATCAAAGAAACGACTTAGTATGAAACTCTTACCGACCAGCTTACCCACTTAAAGTTATTTGATGTTTAATGTGATTTTTAATTTAGTGGGAAGATATGAAACAATACATTGAGTTTTAGAACATCGTAGCGGGAAGGCAGAGGCATAAAAGATGGAAGAATGAGAAAGTTTTAGGGCTAGACTACCTCCGATGGTTAGGGTTTGTTTGCTTCGGATATTCGAGCAAAACTACACAATAGCTATCTGCCATGGCCGTCTCTAATTTCAAACTGATAGAGAGGGGCAAGGAAACTATTCAACAGCACTAAAACATTGTGTTAATTTATATTTGCTTGTCAACAACAACAACAACAAAAATACTTTTAATATCAAATAATTAATACAGTGATGGCTCTCATAGGCTTTATGAGAACTGGTAATCAGTAGTTTCTGAACAAAACAAGCTACCTATACAAATTAAAGCTAAACATTAACGTAGTAAATAATCCGGTTGATTAAAATTCCAGTCCAATTATAAATATAAGATGTCATAAAATAAAACTCAACCTTATAATGATTTGAATGCATTGAGTCACCGCTTTGATACCCCCGCTGTTATTGATAACTCCATGATATCTTACAAGATTCGGCTATCTTCGGAGATTTGGGTTAGCCCTAAATCCGTCTGCGAAGCTAACAATACAAAATACTCCTCATTATAAAGATACATATGATAAATAAATATGATCATAATGCTGTTAAAGCCGCATTTATGATTTATTTACTTTCAGTGATAGTTATCTTGAATAATCAGGTTGTTGTTTTTAGCTACTATTTCTTGGTAGAATTCTGGTAAAAAGAATTATCGAAAAAATGAGACGAAAAATTAACAAATGAAACCATACTCTGTTGTTGTTTTTTCAATTAATTATTATCAATGAACTCTTAATATTTTCAATTGGGAAAAAAAGGAAAATATTATGGTAAAGGTTTTGGATCCTACTATGGACAAGAAATTGGAACAAAATCCTAACAAAGGATATTTCATCAACACAGTAAACGAAAATACTGAAAGTTATGAGAATACCTTAATTAATCACTTTGGTATATCCTCGCATTGTTAGCTCAGCACATGGATTTTGAACTAGCCCAAATCTCCTAAGATGGCCAAATCTTGTGAGATATTTTAGAGTTTATGGCCGAAAATATTGATAACCTTAACAGTTTTTGGCTACTTCTAAATCCATGTGCTAAGCTAACAATGCGAAATACTCTTCATAATAAATATATATATATATTAAATAAATAATTAACAATAAAAATGTATGTACTATGTATACATTTATTGAACGTTTTAATCAATATTGGTAAAAAATAATTCACTTCATTAATTACTTAATTATTACGTGTTTAAGACTTTTAATTAAAAATGCATAAGTAACTCAAAAATAAGGAGAAAACAAATTAGCATAATGACGGATCTTGAACAGCTATTTTTACCTTTTTATTTCACTCAAATTTTGGGCCCGGCATGGCCAGGTGGTTAAGGCGCTCGGCTGTCAATCTGCGGGTTGCGGATTCGAATCCCCGTCATACCAAACATCTCGCCCTTTAAGCCGTGGGGGC